CACACCCAGCTCTGCCGGTGCCCAGAGCCCTCTGTTCTCCCAGCTTGGGACGCTGATTGTACCCTCTTGTGCCACAGTGTATGGTGGTTTTATGATGGGGAAACTGGAGTCTAGGCTCGGAGCCTAAACAGCCCTTCCCTCGTGATCTGCGGGAGGTGCCCAGAGCCTGGTCTAGGCCGTTTCTCTAAGGTGCTGGTGGTGCTGGTGGACTTTCTCTCCTCCACGTGCCAGGCCTGGTGACACCTTCCCCTCCTTGCCAACTGTTCTCCCTGACCCTCCGTGCTCCCCTGTGCCCTCTGCCCTGTGCAGACACGCATGCAGGTGACCCGAGCAGGGAGGCTGCTTCACTGTCTCCTCACCCAGTTCCCAGTCTCGCTGCCTGTCCCTAGGGTGAGCAGAGGTCAGCCGGATCTGATCTCCCTGGCCTGCTAAGCATCTCTGCCCCTTCCGGCACTAGGTGCTCCGTCAAGGCCATTGAGGCAGCCCTGGGGGCCCGGCAGTGGAAGAAGGCCATTTACATCCTGGATTCACAAGAGGAAAGGGTAGCAGTCAAGTACTACCCCAGGATCGCCCAGCACTACGCAGCCTTGCAGGAGTACCAGGTGAGACGCCGGCTCCCAGCATCTCCCAGCCCCACAGCGGCCAGAGACGGCTCACCTGCTGTCCTCTTCCCCACAGATTGCAGAGGAGCTGTACATCAAAGGAGATCGGCCCAAGGATGCGATTGACATGTACACGCAGGCGGGGCTCTGGGAGCAGGCACACAAGGTAGGGATAGAGGCTAAGAGCGGCTGAGTCTCTCGGGCCCTGCTCCCCACCTTCCAAAGCAGTAAATGTCTCCTGGTGCCCTGGGCTCAGCAGCCTTCAGGCAGTGCTCGGTTCCCAAAGGGTCGCTGCGAGCTCCCAGCCACAGAACGGGGTAGGCCTCTGCTCCCTGTGCCCTGTCTGTGTCTCCCTCCACTTCCGGCTCTGGCCTGAATAACAGCACTTCTCTCAAGGACTGGGCACCCCCCGGGCTCAGCCCTGCTCTCTCTGAGCTGCATGGCCAAGCACCCACAGTCTGCTGTGGATGCAGCATCTGCATCCCAGGGGGAAAGGAGTCAGTGTCTGTCCCCAGAGCCGTGCTCAGTGAGTGCCTGGAATCAGTGCCTAGGGCTTCAGAGCTGAGCCCAGCACACACCCAGCTGGTATTCCCGGGGGGAATGGCTGGGTTTGTATGCCATGGCCTGCCTGGCTAGCTCAGCAGGGAGCCGGAGCAGATCTGTGAGGGGATTGGGAGTCTCTCCCCAAATTCTCATTATCCCCTTTGCGCTGCGGTTGCTGAGTAGGGGGCTGGAACCTGTTTCGTGTCTCCCTGCAGCTGGCGACCAAGTGCATGAGGCAGGAAGATGTGTCCGTGCTCTACATCACCCAGGCTCAAGAGATGGAGAAGCAGGGCAAATACAAAGAAGCAGAGCGGTGAGTGTCTGCCTGGACACCATGGGTGGGGGGCTAGGCCTCGGTAGCGGCCCGGGGGACTTGGAGCAGGGCAGGGCTGAGTCTCTCCAGAGTCCAGTCCCCAGCCAAGCTGCCAAGAATGTGCCCTAGGAGTCTTGCTGTGAGGTTGGTTTATGCTGGGAGGACAAAGGCGCTTTCCTGGGACTGGAGGGGAGTTCCAGGCTGAGGGTGGGGAAGAGAAACCCCTTGCAGGTCACATGTCACTGCTCAGCCATGTGGCCCTTGAGCCATCTCACATGCCTCTGTAGCCCCAGGCAACCCTGCCAGGCTGCCCTGTCCTAACTTCTCCCCAGCCGTGTGCTCCCATTACAGACTTTGGGCTGGGTGTTCCCCTGTGTGCCACCTGTAACCATTCCCTGCCGGCTCTGAGCCCCACTGTTTCTGGGGGGGCCCTAGGAGGCCATGCAGCATGTCTCCCCGGGGCAAGGAGAAGGGACTGGTCCCTGTGCGGGGGCAGAATGCACTGGCCTTGCCATGGGCCCCAGCGCTGCAGTTACTTTTCCAGATTTCTCTCTTCCATTTTTCTTAACTGCAGCAGCCAGTGGGGTTTTTCTGGGTTTTCCCGCAAAACAAGTCTCCTTTCCCGCTCTGGGACCAGTGAGGAATGCCCCACCTTCTTTCCCCTGGTTCTGAGGAGGGCTCCTTGGAGGAGCAGAGAATGACGAGACCTTTCTCAGCCCTTCTGAAGGGACACTGGCTCTTCTCTCCCAAGTGCTTGTTCTAGCTAAAGCTCTCCCCTCAGCGAGTGTGGGGTTTGATCTCTGGCGCCTGCTCTCCCACCATCCACGCAGCCCTCCCGCAAAAGGAGAGGAACTGGGACTGAGATTTCTGTTCTAAGAAACGAGCAGGGGGAGCCTGACAGGCCAGAAGTTCACCGACCCAGTGGGGAATTCTGCAGGGCAGCGCCAAGCCACTGGCAGCCTCCAGCTGAGACGCCAGGCAGGATTCCTAGGGGTGGAGCATCTGTTTGCACATGGCAGAGCGGAGCTGGACCAGATCCAGTGGCTGGCTCAGGAGGGTGATCGGGGCCTTTTCCCTCCAGTGAGTGCCAGCTCCTATCTTATCCCAGCTTGAGTGGACTGACTGGCTGGGGGATTGGGAATGCCATACAAGGCCTTTCTCCTCTATGGGCACTGGCTCTGGTCAGCCCCCGCACAGGACTGCTGAGGGGGTGGTAGGGAATGGGATACTGGGCCATTCCCATGTAAATCACCAGGTCCAATCGATCCCAGGGTAGCAGTGACATAAGCTTTTTAGTGGTCTAAACGAAGTGAGCTGGGGTCCACATCACCAAGCCGTCATCAACCCCTGGGGCTGCTGGCAGCCTCAGCAGGGAGGCCAAGGCATGACTGGGCCCCAGAGCCCAGGAGGGTCCCTGCAGGGGAGAGCTGAGGCAGAGTGGTAGGGACATCCCCCGTGTGGGTAGGTTACATGGTGCCGTCCATCTCCACAGCACTCAGTCCCACACCTTTCATCAACACGACATGCCGTGCACCATTTCCTGACTGGTGAGTATTCAGCCCATGCTCTGCTCCAGCTGGCCTGGGAGCAGATGGGTTCTTGGGCCTGGCCCAGTGGCAGAGTCTGCGCCTGCCGCACCTGTGTCCTGGGCCTGACCCTGTGACAGTGAGCGCCTGCCGCGCCTGTGGCATGCGCCTGGCCCAGCAACAGAGTCTGCGCCTGCTGTGCCTGTGTCCTGAGACTGGCCCAACAACAGAGTCTACGTCTGCCGCGCCTGTGTCCTGGGCCTGGCCCAGTGGCAGAGTCTGCGCCTGCTGTGCCTGTGTCCTGGGCCTGGCCCAGCAGCAGTCTCAGTATTTCCATGCTTGTGTTCTCAGGCTGTACATCACGGTGGAGGAACCTGATCTGGCTATCACCATGTATAAAAAGTGTAAGATGTATGATGAGATGATTCGCCTGGTAGCAAAGTACCACAAGGACTTGCTGAGTGACACACACCTGCATCTGGGGAAGGTAAAGCTCTCAGGGTGCGGGCAAGGATCTGTCATCCCAGCGGGGAGGGCTCGGGACACTCGCTAACACACCGTCTCCTGTCACAGGAGCTGGCGACTGAGGGCCGCTGGCAGGAGGCTGAGTACCACTACCTGGAAGCCAAGGACTGGAAGGTCACAGTGAACATGTACAGAGTGAATGACATGTGGGAGGAAGCGTACAGGGTAACAGCAGCTCTTTAACAGAGAGGACAGGGCATGGCACTAGCAGGTCCCCGTATGTGTCTAGCCGCAGTGCCTAGTGCTTGGGTCAGGATGGAGCATTGCATGCTGGGATCCACATCTGCTGCCCTCTTGGGTGAGCAATGCTGAGGAGGAAGGGAGGTCTCTGCACTCTGTCCCCTGCAGGTCCTTGCCTCCTCCTCACTGGGCCGAGAGGCTGTAACTTGGGGAAGGGTCTGAGTTGGGGACGGACTTGGTCCAGCAAGGAGCCCCCTGGGAGACTCAGCTCTGTTTGCTTTGGACAGGTAGCCAAGGCCCACGGGGGGGCGAATTCCTACAAGCATGTGGCCTATCTGTGGGCAAAGAGCCTCGGAGGGGAAGCTGCCGTGAAACTCCTCAATAAGTTTGGGCTTCTGGAAATGGCTATCGACCATGCAGCAGATAATGGGTGAGTGTCCTGAGGCTAGGAGCTCACCTCCTGGCACAGGGAGAGCAAAGCCCAGCCTGGGGAATGTCCTTCACTCACAGCAGCTACAGGCCCCGGGATGGAGGCTCCATCTGCATCCCACAGGGACCGAGGAGGAGCTGATGTGTGGACCGCTGCCCACCTCCCATCCCTGGGGGGCTGGGAAGGAGCTTTTCCCATCTTGGCTTGAGGGAGGTGAGGCTTTGCAGAGCTTCCACCTGCAGGGGTGGGGGTCAGGGGCCAAGTCACCAGCAGCACCACAAGCTGCCACCCACCGGGGCAGCCTCCTGTCACAGCATCAGCACCTGCCCTGTCCTCTCTCACTGCCTGAACCATCAGTCACCACAGCCATCTCCTGTGCGGGGTCCCAGCCTCAGCTCTCCCCTCACAAGCCTCCCACCTCGCCTTGGGTTCTGCCTGCCAGCACCAGCCCTCCCCCACCCGTCCGCTCCACATGGGGCACATCCAGGACCTAGCTCGGCTCACCCCCATCCCTTTCCTCTCGTCACAGCGTCTTTGACTTTGCGTTCGAACTGGCCCGGCTCTCGCTGAAGCAGAAGACACCTGAGATCCACTTGAAGTACGCCATGTTCCTGGAGGATGAGGTACGACCCCACGCCCTGCACTGTGCCCAGACTGCAGAGCGCTCACCCGGGGGCCTGCACCAGGCAGGTTCTTCCGCCTCCCCAGGGAAGTGGCGTGGCTGCAGCCTGGAGGCCCGGAGCGTGTAAGCCGGCTCTGTGAAGCCCTTGCCCCTCCTGGCCGGGGTGAGGAGCGGGAGGCCACGGTGCCTAAGCAGATTGCTCTCCTCTGTCCTAGGGCAAGTTCGAAGAGGCCGAGGCTGAGTTCATTAAAGCTGGGAAGCCCAAGGAAGCGGTGCTAATGTGAGTGCCCCCTGCTTACTGAATCCAGGTTCCAGGCCAGGGGGCCTTGCTCCCGTGCCTGACCCCAGCCTGACAGCTCTTCTCTCCAGTCGATCTCATGCTCCCTCCCCCACCCCAATGTGCTGGACCCAGGCTGGCATGTCTCCTTGGCTCCCCAGGTTTGTCCACAACCAGAACTGGGACGCTGCCCAGCGCGTGGCTGAGGCCCACGACCCGGACAGCGTGGCCGACGTGCTCGTGGGACAGGCTCGCTTCGCCTTTGAGCAGAAGGAATTCCAGAAAGCAGAGGCCTTCCTCCTGCGGGCCCAGCGGCCAGAGCTGGCCGTGAAATATTACAAGGTGGGTGCGGCCAGTGGCGATGTCTCTTCACCCCACAGAGCTCAGTGTCTGGGCAGGGAACCCCCCGTCATCCCCCCGAGAGCTCAGTGTCTGGGCGGGGAACCCCCCCATGATCCCCCCGAGAGCTCAGTGTCTGGGTAGGGAACCCCACCATGATCCCCCCCGAGAGCTCAGTGTCTGGGTAGGGAACCCCCCCATGATCCCCCCCGAGAGCTCAGTGTCTGAGCGGGGAACCCGCCATCATCACCCCCACCTCCCCTGTCCCTCCCCAGGTGTAGCTGTGAGGGGGTGGGGGGGTTCAGGAGGGGCTGTGGTGTCCCCTCCATGGTAGTAGCAGTGAGGGGGTGAGGGGCTGGATCAGGGGCCCTGGGGCGGGGCTGGATCAGCCCTGGGGTGCTGGGAGCCCAGTAGGCTGAGCAAAGACCCTCCCCACTCTGGCCCTGGTGTGTTTGGTGCAGGAGGCCGGCATGTGGAGCGACGCCCTGCGGACCTGTAAGGAGTACGTCCCCAGCCGGCTGGAGGTGCTGCAGGAGGAGTACGACAAGGAGACTGCCAAGAAAGGGACCAGGTAGGCCAAGGCTGTTCACCTGGGGGCGCTGGGCTGAGCTGGTGCAGGGACGTCCAGTGCTTGGCTGAGTTCCCTGCAGCGGGGCCCCAGAGCCCGTTGCATGCTGCCTCCCTGATTACTGGGCGGGGGCAGGAGACAGCACCAGCCGAACCTCTCTCCATCCCTGCACCTGCCTCTCCCTGTGTGCAGGGCTCATGCCCGGGCCTGGCCCTGCCAGGATCCCTGCACCATCTCCCCGTGCCCAGCACGGGCTCACCTCCTGTGTTGGTCCTGGCAGAGGCGTGGAGGGCATGCTGGAGCAGGCCCGGCAGTGGGAGCAGGCTGGGGAATACGCCAGGGCTGTGGACTGCTACCTGAAGGTACAGGATCCCAGTAACAGCCTGCTGGTGGAGAAGTGCTGGCTGAAGGTAAGTCCTGAGCCCCCGCCCCTCCTCTGGTACCCCAGGGGCCCCACCATACACTGGTTCCCCCACCCCAAAGAGACACCATGCCCAACCCCCACACGTCTCTGGGAGCTTCAGGCTGACTGAGACCCGAGAGATGAGCTGGGCACCAGTGACCCATTGATGGCTGTGCCGCAAACAACCGCCAGGGCCAGGGTTGGATTGTCCGCGATGGGGCCCCTCCCCGCAATCTCAGGGTCGGGGCCCAGCTCTCCCCAACAGGCCCCTC